CCAGCAAAACAAAGCTAAGTCAAATCTTGCTTTCTGTCTTGCTAATTTCATGGAATAGCCGCATGCCTTGGTGATTCTCTTGTGAAGGTCTGTGTTCTGTTCCATTATCTGTCCCAAATGACATCTGGGAAAGTTAAATTTAGTTTGGATTAAATGTTGTCATTTTCATTACCTTACATTAGCTGTAAGTTAGCCTTTAGGTAGTAAGCAGTGAGTTTTTTAACCTATCTTTTTCAATAGCAATTTTTCTGCTTTTTTTTTTTTTAGAAGGAGCAGCAGGTGGGGGAGGAATAAACCAAATATGCTTCTACTCTTGTACTAATGCCATCTGAACAGGTTCCTTCGTACTTTAGCTTAGTTCCATATAGCATTATCTCTTTTAAAGATATATTTCATTCCTATGAGCTGCCAGATGTGCTGGTGATAGGTTCTTAGATCTCAGATAGGTTGACATTGATTTTCCTAGCACACACCAATGTAGAAATCTGGTCTGTAACTCATCCAAATGATCTTTTCATAACAAAAAGTGCCTTCTGGCAGTTGCACTGCAGCTGAATACTATTAAACTGAATTCATCATTTGTTTCTGATTGCTCTATATGTTTACATATCTTACATATTAGTACGATCTTTTATAGAGCACACACTGAGGTTAAGTCTTCCCAGACAGAACCTCTTCCTCCTTATTTGCCCTTTCAGATGTTGAACTTCTCTTTTTTACATTAAAATGAATGGAAACTTTGGAACTTTTTAATGCTTTTCTCTACCAGAACAAGGGGCTAAGATATAGGAATGCACATGGTTAGTGGGCATGGTGGTGATGGGTTGGCAGTTGGACTTGATGATCTTAATGGTCTTTTCCGAGCTTTATGATCCTGTACTGGGGAGATGTGGAAAGGTGACATTTTCCTGCACAAAAGAATTCTTCCCCATCCAATGCCAGATGAACTGTGAGCTACAGTTATGGAGTATAATAATTCTGTAAGTAAACACCATCATAGATGGGGCAATAGTCTGTGGGAATAGGATCAAATGCTTCTCATCTCCAGTCTTCAAATGCCTGCTGCAGTAATTGTTGTGCAGAGAGCATTCTGACACCCAGCAGGGGGCAAGTAACTTGACCCTCTCTGTGTTTCAGTTTCTCTATATGTAAAAAATAATAAACAGTAACATGCCTCACAATAGGAGCGTGTTGCAGGGTGGATTTAAGTTAAATAGAAGGAAGAAAATATGAAGCTTCTTTTGAACATGTATTTTAACTTTCAAAGAAGGATGTCATCTCTTATTTGCTTTAAAAATAAAAATCAATTGCCCAGAGATCTAAAACAGATGTTGTTTTCTACTAAAAAGATTAAGGATTCTCTTAAGCTCATTAAAGGAATAAAATGACACCGCATTGATCCATCTGTATCATCATAAGTATGTCTGAAGGCAATAGAAAACTCCAAAAAGGTCCCTTCCAGCCCCCGTGATTCTGTGACATGGTATTAGTGGCATAAAAATAACTGAGTCTGGCACACTGTGCTTATCTTCTGGGTTCTGCGGCACACTTTTCCTCCAACCTTATGCTTATGTCTACTCATGTGTTTTAGTGGGATTGAGTGGTATGTATGCACAGGCAGAATTTAGAATTTACAATGAAAATACAAACACCAGCTGCTGCATGGCTTGAAAAACTCAAGCGTCCGAGTTATATCAAGGAGGGGAAATGGAAGCCGTTTGCTGTCTCTTTTATACATATATCTGCAGAACAACGTTCACCATTTCTTCTCAAAGAGCATGTGCCTGATTTTGGTAGTTTATTATTACGTTTTTTATCAATAACCATGCACAACTGGCCTAGAACTAACCTACCTGCAAAATGTGGATTGAACTGTTTAAGTGAAGGTAGGAAATAAAATAAAACAAAAAACAAACAAAAAAACAACCAAATTGAGCAATGCCACATACAGTGTTAATAAATCCCAGCATGCTAGCCAGTGTTCTTTACTTTGGAGAGATACTACAGCTGAAAAATAATGATAACCTGGTATCCCACTTGTTATATCCATCCATCAGTGTGGAGCTCCCTTGTTTGCTCTGTATGGGTGTTGAAAATTTGCTGGAATATATATAAACTACTTCAGTAATAAAATGATAGGTAAGTCTCAGTGCAGTTTGTGAAAAGCCAACATGGAAATAGACTGTCCTGGCAAATTCCTGTGGGTGTCCAAAATGCAACGCCAGTATGGGCTCCAGGGACACTTTGGTCCTTTAATCAATCTAAACCCTTTAGTTTTATCAGACATGCAGGACAATTTGATAAATGGTGGAGTAAGAACAGAAGAAAGATACAGATATATCTATATACCTATATAATGTATTTAAACTATTGTCCTTCTCTATGTTTATAACTTCCCGTGCATTCATAACACATCTTTGTGCCTCAAATATCCTTAGAGTATTTGGTCTCTTCCCACTATGCAGCAGTTTTAGAGGAGTTTAAAGGAGTGTTTAGAGGAGGCTTCAAACAAGCAGAACCCCTTCTGCCCTGAAGGTCCCTTCCTACACCTAAGGTGTGCCAATGCCTGAATGAAGAGAATCATAGAATGGCAGAATGGCTTGGGTTAGAAGGGACCCCGAGGATCATTGCGTTCCAACCCCCTGCCACGTAAATGAGACAGGATGCTGGGGTTCTCAGTGTGCTCCCATCATCAGTTTGGAGCAGATAGCATTTGGCAACATTGATCTTGTGCTGTGTTCTCAGTAAAGTTGGCAATGTGGAATTGGTTTAAACATCAGTTTATTTTAGGTTTCTAAGTTTTAGAAACATTTAGCCAGTACTTTTTGTTGCACTTCTTTTTGTTAGTGAAATTGTAAGAGAAGGCTTGCCCCATAGAGGTGTTGAAAACCCAAGGCTGCATTAATTTGTAGTTTTAAGAGAAAACAAAACAAAACCAAATGTCTTTGCAATGTTTTTGACGTAGCTTTGTCCACTTGGAGTCATAAATGCCTTTTTAAATTCAGTGCAGCTATTCTTGCTCTTTAATGGGTTTAGTCAGCCAAAACGTTACGCAGACACACAGACACATGTGCAGGCATACCTCTTTAGTGAAAGTAAGTCAGTGTCCTATGGCTGATAGGGGGGATTGAGCATAATTCTCTTCTTATTTAGATGCGTTCCAAAGAGAAATCAGGATAGCTTGAAACTGTCATGATGTATTTGGAGCAACCAGTCTTTGTTGCTTTGTTTTTCTACTTAACTTCATGACGAGAATCAGCTGTAATGTCAGATGATGGCTAAAGCAGACTATTGTTTGTGCAGAACCCTCCCTGCTGCTGGTATATTTACTAAACATGTGCAATGCACAAATGCCAGTAAACTGCATCATCCAGCATATTCCCCAGTTGCCAGCAAAAACTGTCTTTAAAGTTTGGCCTGTTTAAATATACAGAGAATTTGCATTGAGTTGAACAGAAACAGAGCTGAATTTTTGTTTACTGTTCCTTGAAGCTATTTGGATATGAAATCCTGGTGTTATTGAAATCAACAGCAATCCACAAGCATCCTTCAATGGGTGCAGAGTTTTTCTAATAAAGAACAAGCTCTAAATACAAAAAAGCATTGTCCCATTGACTGAGACCTTCTTAATGTTTGTTTCTGTGTTGCAAACGTGCAGACTCAACATTGTTAAGGAATTCTTGTTTCCTCCTCTTGGGGCATTTCCTACCTTCTAGAGAACAGCAGCTGCAGATTTACTTCATTAACAGCTTAGTGGGCAGTGCATTCATGCACCATCTGATGGCGTAGAACTGTACTGCCATCCTATTTTCCCATTGAATTTATGGCTGCATGTACCTTGAACGTCTCAACCTGTTGGTTCTGGAAGAGGTGACGTGAATCATTCTCCAAATGAGAGGACAGGTCATCTACCTATGGGAATGGATGAGCTGTCTTCTCCAGTACCTGCTGCAGGAGTAAGTCATGTTCAAACAGTGCAGAATGCTCAGCTAGCTGCTATGGCAATTTACTGCTGATTTGTAGCATGTACTACGTTCTGTGCCTTGCTTGCTAGCTTGTCATACCTCCTTAGCCTTTCTTTCTGCACTCAAAAGGAAGTATAGAAAGTCTATCTAGTCTACTGACAGCTTTAGTAAGAGGAAGAAAAGTGCTCTCCACCCTTACAAACTGGTAATTGGCATCTTTTGAAGCAGAGAAAGGAAATGAAACAGTTTGTCCCACATCCTGAGTGATCTAGCCACTGAAGTGCTGTGTAGGGACAGGACATCACTGTAGATATGGATGATCTATCAGTTCATGAAAGAGAGTTTCACGAACTTGATGTAAGGGTTCACAGAGGGAAGGAAAGTTTTCTGTAATGTTAAGCTTAAATAAGACACGGGACCTGAAGCTGACCCAGGCAAGTGTTTCCTGTTGGCTTGGGACAAGCAACTCCCTGCCATCCAGGCCAGGTTTGCAGTTTCCACACAAGAAATCTGACTGGGAATGGTCAGCTGGGTTTCCCTTTGATTCTCAGCTATGAAAACACACAGGATGAGTGCTCTGTAAGCACTGCTCCCTGGTCAGGTTAGCTATGTTTTCTGCTGACAATCAAGCACAGAATGTTTTATCCAAATGCTCATTTTAACTAGAGTGTTTTTCTGGAGGAGCAAAGCACTTTTCTTCTCCATGTGAAATATAGTTCTTATTCCTGAAAGTTCATTCTTTGGTGTGGCCAGGCCTGTGGCCAGGCCCAGCTGCTGTCTAAATGGGTGTGAGTGGGAGAAATAGGAGTTAGGCAGTCAGTAGCTGCAGCTGTATCATGTCATCTGAAAATGATGCAAATGGGGAACATATTTCTCCACATTCTCCTTAGAATAAATCTCCACCTACACATTTTTGCTGATGATGGTAACTTCAGTGGAGGAGCACAAATCAGTATTAGATTCTGACAGCTGCCAAACATTAGCTGTTAAGCACCTACTTCAACAGGTCACTGAGGCTATTTCTTACTTTTCCAGATCAGTGAAACGCCCATTTTTGTTCCTGGTGTTTGGGGACCTTATTTCTCTGCCATGGTTCCTGGATTGTGGCTGAATGAAGGAGGTCAAAGTGCTACAGGAAAGCTGGTAAGTATGGAAGCGTAGAGCTCGAGATGGGAGCTGACTGCAATCATCTGGGATAGCTTCACTGCCAATTGAGCCAGAGCTGTGCCTGAAGCATCCTTGTAAGATTAAAGGAGAAAGCAGTAAACAATTAGTTGGTTGTTATGCCCTTACAGCTTGTTCATTTCCATTCTGATAGGGGATTATATGTGGGGTGGAGCACTAAGGGCATATAGTCCTTTTTTGATAATTGCAGTGATTATTTTTATAGTTCTACAGGTAAGTAAGCTTTCATACTTTGTAGTAGCAAGAGGATGAGGTAGGCTTTGAGATGAGGAAATGTACACATGAGGTCAAGAAGACCTCAGTGCGTGCTTCCATGTTTCTCCATGTGTTTCTCCATGTGTCTCTTTGCTCAATCAGTATGATCTGCCTTTAGTGGCAAGGTGCCAAATTCCTACTGAGAGCCTGGTCTTGCAAGGACAAGCTGTAAGCTCCAAGCATACAGGTGGGTTTGGCTTTCCACAAATTGCAGCCATAATTGCTGTCTTACTCAGACTTAGCACCACCCATGTTTTAAAAATCCTCGTGATCAATGCACGTGTCCTGGAAGTTGCAGAGTTGGGCATCATCGCGTTTATGCATTCCATATGAAACAATCATGGTACAAGGAACAGAAATAATCCTGGATCAGGAAGCCCAGATACACCCTAAGTGGTGAGCTGTGACTTGATGTTCCCTCGTGTCTGCAGTCCTTGGCCACGTGAATCTTTGGTTCCTGTCTGTACAGTGTCACACCTTCAGTGGGACAGTCAGCACTCTTCCCCAACTGCACCTCTGGTTCCCATCCCAGGCCTGCACTGAGCCTCGTGCTTAAATCACTCTTGCAGCAGGTGGGATGTGTGTTACATTTTCCAGGTCAAGACAAGGCTGGAACCAAAGTGTCCCATTTGACAGGTAACAGCTACAGCCAGAAGTAGCATTTAATTATCACTCATGACAGCACCACTTCAAAGGAAAAATGGTAAATCTCATGCATACTTCATAAAAACACTTTTGAGAGAAGTCTCTGTGTGCTTAACGCAAGGTGGGTGGAGACATTTAACTGATCCCAGGAGAGGATAGAGCAAATCAAATGTTTTTAGTTGGCTGCCACATGGGGGTTCATCTGAAAGATGATTTTAAAAATCCTTTTCAGTCACTGCTGGATTCCATTCTAGTACCAGAGAACAAAGTGTTCCTCAGTCATTTAAGAAAATGCTGCAAATCCTATGTGCTTGTTAGGGACACTTAGCAAAAGTCAACTGAGAGTAAATAAAGGTATATTTAAAAAGCTGCTTTATTAGAACATTCTTAGAATATTTAGTGTCGTTTTGTTGAGATTGCACTTACAGGAAGAAATGGTTTGTGTGTAAAGTGGTGTGGAAGATAGGTTGCATTCACTGTCACTATGGTTTTAAAGCTGAAGTCATTGTATTCAGGACATCTCAATATCTAACTTCATTCTAACAGTAACACTTCTGTTTAAAGCTTTTTCATAACACATGTACGTATGATATTTATCTATAGCTGTATTTCTGGATTTATGAGTTGTTCCTATGTTCTACAGTAATAATTTAATATTGCAATTAGGTCAGAGCTTTGTTCTAATTCATGTTTGAGTTTTGTCTTTGATGTAAATCTCAGAAAGAACAGGCGTGTGTTACTTTTATTCCTGTGTTCTGATGTATATGTTTCATGATAAAGGTTTCTCTACACTGATTACAGTCTAGACTCAGACTGTGAAAAATATAATACATAATGTGTTTTACTGCCAATATATACTGCCAAATACAGTCTGTGCTCTTGAATAGCTCTAGTTTTGCCTGCTTACTTGTTACTGTCACTTCAAGAGGCCACAAAACACTGATTCTACCTGATACTTCATTCTGTGAGTAATGATAATCACTGTGATGCGGAAGGGCTGGATGATTTATAAATACAGCACGAACAGAACCTGTATTGAGATTTTTTTTTTTAAGCAATAATTGCTTGTCAGAGGAAACATTTTGTTTCCTACAGTGAACACATGGAGCGCTTATCCAGATGACAACACACCTTGTATTTTATTGTAATGATATGATATATAGAAAGACGTAGGGATTTGGGCCAAGAAGATGCTACTGGTAGAGTTCCAATGAAAGCATGCATGCAATTTAGTGAGAAAGATTAGAGGACGTACTCTCAAGTATTGCTGGGCAGGAAAAACTTCTATCCTACTGGTGTTACTCTTCTGATTGAGGCACTGCGTGCTCAGCATATTGCCTTGTTTAGTTTTTTGTTACTGTTTTAGCTTTTTGTTACTGTTTTAAAGCAAAATCTTGAATCCTGTAACGTCAGTGGGAGTTTTGCCATTAGCTTCACTTGGGTTGGGACTTTACACCTCATGAGTAACTTAGAAGCTCTCTTGTCTTTTTAAAGTTATGAAACTGCATTGCCCCTTTCCAGGACTGAATTTTAAAGATATAATCATTCAAAAAAATCTTGCTTTCCTCTTTTTCAGATAGAGCATGTGGTCCAAGGCCATGTTGCCTTCCCGGAATTACAATCCAAAGCTGCAGCCAGGTCACTGTTCTTATTTCTTTATCACATGCCTGCCTTATCAACTGACATATTGTATCCCCAGCACAGAGATATTGCTCTGCTGTATACATATTCTGGAACTTGGGAATCAACAGAGTGATAGTGGGTTGGAAGTATTTACAAAGGCTTTTCAGGTAGTTGTTCAGAGAGGAAAGCTCTAATCTCCTCTCAGATATCTTGAGGGTAGCTAAATGGTGATACCAGCTTCACCAGCTTCCTGCTTTTCAGCCTCTGTTTTACCCAAGCCAGCGTATTTCTTGATACCATAGCATCAGCCCTGTTCAGCTAAGCTGTGTGCCTTAGGCTAACAATGTCTTAATTTGTAGGTGACCTATTGAGCTCCAGGGGTGAAATAGAGCTTAATTAGGAATATATTATTCAGTATTTTTGGAACGAACATGTAAAGGAAACTCCTATGTGACAGCACAAATAGAACATAGAAAGCCAGGATACATTTTCAGACAAAGATGTGGGAGTGTACTGCTGGTAATTCCAGGATTCCTTGAACATGCAGATATGAGAGATGTCGAATTTTAGTTTGATCTACTTTGGAAGTGGATGAGGACCATTCAGACACTTCTGTCAGATCTGAATTTTCTGAGACTAACTTAGCTGAACAGTAAAGTACATTGGATGAAAAATTGGTTATCCTAATTATTTTTTCTCCTCCTTGGATTAAAGACAGAAACAGTGAATTTGTCCTTTAATCTCCAGTTTATCACTCTGGTCTAAATGGCAAGGGACAGTCCTGAGAGATGTATTAAAATTCATTCAGTTACAGTTAGTCCTCTCTGGGGGGATAAAGCTACCTGGCTCCTCTGGATGACCCTTTCATAGTTTTTAATGTTAAATGGCTTATTTATTTGCTGAGACCTTGACCAGAATTCCCAGAAATCTATTGGACTTCTTTCAATATGGAATAGATTCACGCTTCCTAGAATTCTCTTTGTTGTTCTTTAAGAAAGAAAATCAGGAAACAAATGCATCTGTGCGTTTGGAGTAAGGACTGATCTTTACTGCTTGGGGTTTTTCCAAGATTTTGGCTTCTGATCCATTTTTTTCCTGTGCCCCCATGTGAAGCATAAGCATAAGACAAAGAATTAGTTAGATCTCTGATGACTTTTTTGTGTGTTGTTAAAGTGAGTATGCAGCAGCTTGCTTGTCCATACTAGGTGTGATAATGTACTGACCAGAACGAATTTCATAGAGCTTAAATCTTGGATTGTGATCTGGATAGTACACTAAATACAGAATACTGGGAACAGAACTCCACGTATACTGTGGAAGTGGTGTCATCAAAATATGGTGTCAAAAATGTGTGCCTCTTACTTGCTGCCTACTTCTGCCTTCCCAAGCCTGTCCTTTCCTCTCCATCTAGCAACGCTGCTCCTAAGTAGGTTCAGCAGAGTCAAACTGCCTGCTGAGCAGCTGGTCTCAGAAGCTTCACTTTTCAGATTTTTATTCCTTTGCATCCACCAGGAGTGAGACTTTGCATGCTGCACTTACCACTATTCCAGCTGATTTGTGGTAACTTGTTAGGGCATGTGTGGCTTACATGGGCTTGCCAGAAACCAGCTCCTGCTGGCCATTTGTGCAGCCTTCCCAGCCTTATTCCCATGTTCTCTTTTCCCTTCTCTTACTGGAAGTGAAAAGGGTTGAGTTGCATGAGGGCTGTCCGAACAGCTGCAAATTTAGCATTTGGTCAACCAACAGATGTACTCTGAACAACATGCTCCTTTTTTCACACAGTTCAGTGAGTTGCAGAAATCACTGTAGAGACATCACATTTAGTGTTCAATCTCTTTATTGTGTGGGTCTGACATCTAGCCATCATGATATGGTAAAATCCACTCTGTGTAGTCTAGGGTAGGAGATCAAAGTAACATCATTTATGATTTTAAGTCTAAATACTTAGCTTCCTGGTATCACAGTTCCAAATCTCCTGGTGCAAAAAGTTTGTTTGCCACATCAAAGATTACATGATCATTGGTGCTTTGCAAAGAAGTATATTTTAGGATAGAATTTCTTTTCCTTTGCTTCTCAATGCCATTTCTCCATCTAAAGACATGGCTCCTGTGGAAAAAAAAATAATAATAAAAAAAACAATGAAGTGACACACACATCATCTGTCAGCTCTTCTGGGACCATTCAAGCAGAACACAATCATAGTATTTGACAGTTTTCTATACTGTATATTTTTATAGCCTTATTTCAAGTTTAGAGATGGAAAATTTTTACATTTTTTTCTCAAAGATTCAGACTGACATCTCCTAGATTCCTAAACAGATTAAGTACCAAACTCTTATTGCTTTCTGAAATTCTCTCCTTAATAAGAACATCATCCTGAGCAAACTTATGTTCAATTCTTATTCTCCACTTTCAGCATTGTTCGTTTTAATTAGCTTGTGCTTAGCTCTGCAAACCAGATCCAGCTGCTACTGATAGCTTCACATGGAACTGGATAGAAAAAGCTCCAGAGAGCTCATGCTATAAGACTATGTCCAGCAGAGGCTTGGTACAAACTGGAACTGGAAGAAGTTTGAAGGATTTTGCCAATCACTCACACTCACATTTTGTACAGACAAAATAAGAAAAGCTGTGAAGAAAAGCATAATGCCAAGGTGATCTGAGTCTTAACGTATCTGGCCAAGTTTCAGCTTCTTTTGTGCATTCTTCTCTCGGGGTGGTACAGACAGCTGATCCCTGCAAGAGTGGTCAAGCAGCACAGAAATCAGGTAGGAGCTGAGATGTCTGTCTGGTAGATTTCTGGACGAGCGAAGCTTTCTTTTCTTCCCAACATCAAACCATGATTTAGCCTGGAAATACAATGACTTCATGTTTAACGTGTGCTGCTTACCTATAAGTAAGTTTTAGAGATGTAGAATATAGGGCCACCTCTGCAAGGGGGGGAAAAATGGTGACCTCAAAATTACCATAATTCAGGTCCAGGAAGACACACAAAGCACATTTAAAAGTATGTGAATAATGATGTGAATTAGTTATTTTAATGTCTTCCAAGTGTACTTCATTTTGAATGATATCCTCTGATAGCATACACATGGTAAGGTATAATTGAAAAAACATGCAGCTGAATGGTTGAATGCAAAGTATAAATATACAGCTGCTAGCAGGTCAGAAGTCAAACTAGTAAAGCATATGCCAAATTCCCTTAGGGATCTCATTAGTGTGTGATTGAATATACATGTAGAGGCTAAGTGAATATCACTGTTTGGGTCTATAGTGGATGAGACAATGACTAATCAATTGTAATTAGGGTTACATGCTATTATTGACCCACATGTCTAGAATTAAATGCCCCACTTGGAGATTTCCAAGGGGTTGAAAAATATATATGAATCTGTTTATGATATTATGAGTCTTTGAAAAAGTATTCTGAGCATAATTGCAACATTTTTTAAATGGAATGTCACTGGAGCTATTGGAAGCCAAAGCACTGAAGAATTCACTGTTAGACCAAAGATCACTGTTGGTCCAAGAAAATGTCTGTTGGATATTGTGGAGCTGGGTGTATCTGAACTTAGATACAAGCATGTTTAGGCCCATGTTCGGCTCCTCCCTAAAATAGCAGCCACTTGCTTTCTCTCCTCCACCCTCAGTGCTACATTTTAATCATAACACATATTGAAATAATTATGGTTTAAAAAAGGAAAGCTGAAAGTGCTATTGATTAATCAGAGAAATTGTTTAACTGCTGTAAAGGAATTTTCATTTCTCTTTGGAATCCTCCTTGTTCTTCTCTCTTTCCGCCAGCTTTCCCTTTCACAGTGTCAGCACCTTGCTGTTAGAGACAAGCATCATCAAACCCCAAAGTACCCAACAGCTTTGGCTCAATTAGGGACTCATAGGAAGCAGTGTGCAGGCTCAAGATCACAAACTTCCACCTCTCGTCCTGCAGAACTGAGGCATGCAGATAGGCATCCCCACTGCCTGCACACTGCGGTGTTTCTCCCTCTTTGTTTTACTTCTGGGATTTGGGATTCTTTGTTGGGCTTTCTGCTTTTGAAAGTAGTACAAATGTTTTATGTTTGATGAATAACCTCCCCCACTCTTTTTCCAACTTGTTTTTCTTCTAGTGCTCAAAGTATATATACATACTTGAACAGTCACCTGGATCTGATTAAGAAATCCTTGCCTGTGGGTTTCCTCACTGTTGATTTACATGTTTGGCCAGATTTCCATGGAAACAGATCTCCCTTAACAGATCTGACACTAAAGGGCATGGTAAGAAACAGCCTGTCTTTGCAAAAAGGTCAATACAGGGTAAAAAAAAAAAAAAATCTTGGAAGGAGTTTTAATTTTGAACATACTCCTCCTTAGCTATTTAAACTGTCCCATAGGATTTGGGTTTCTTGCTGCATTTTGAAGTGTGCTAAAGTTTCAGTAGAAAACCAGAGATCATTATAGTTCAGATATCGTTACAACCACATCTATTTCCTAAAAATAAGGAGAGTGTGCATCTCCCAGTAACCTTCCTAGGACTCACACTTCAGAACTCTGTTAGCAGTGCCCACAGTTGTCATTAGCTCACCTGTCTGCCTAGTTTTGCATCAGCACAAATTAGAGTATGTCTACGTGGGAAAGGAATGAAACAAATGCAGATAATGTTTGGTAAATGAACTATATTGATTGTTGGGTGTTAAATCTCAACAGAAACAAAAAGCTCCTCTGCTTATTGTTAAAAATGGCCATAGATGCTCTCATGCATGGAAACATGCAGTCATGGTGCTTCGTAGGTCTTTGTTCAAAGCTGAATGTTGTCTGATGCTTGCTTCTAGTTTTAAAAATGCTACTTTTGGAACTCACAGGGTTTGAAGTACTGTGTTCTGCACAAGGAAATTTTCAGTGCATTGCAGTGTGAAACCTGAAAGCAACTTTTGGAAGCTCACCAGAGATGCTCATCATCATTTTTCATCCCATCTTTAAAGATTTGGATGATTATTTCTCTTCATGGTTGCAGACCAAATAGGTAACAGGCCAGATGTAATTGTGCAGGGCTGGAAAGCTATCAGAAAGGTATCATTTGATGATATCAAAGTACCTGATGAGTAAGACAAAAATTTACTTCGAAGTGGTATCATGTTCTTGTAATGAATACCTCAAGCTACTCACCAGCACCAAAATCTGCTGTGCGTAAGGCTGAGGTAGGAAAGGGAGTTGTAAGCACCACCACATGTTTTAAACCACAAACAGAGGAAGCGTCAAAAAATAGGTTACTTATGTGTGGAGTTCCACTAATATCTATATGATTTTATGAAAGAATTATACACTGCAGCAGATTCAGATTCTCCTTTGGTATGAGAGCCGTATGCAAACACTGGTAATAACAATCATTTTCTCTGCTGGTGCTCACATCTGGCCTATGATGATATTAACCCAGAGTAACTACAGTACGATATTTATTTATTTCAGAGTAAAAAAGATGAAGGAATAGTCTTTAATTATGAATTGTCTTTCAGTGTTATGGTACTTGGAAGTGAGAAGAGCTTTTAAAAACTTGTTTTTATGTGATAGCATTTTCATATTATTACATTAAATACATTCAAAGGCAATGTCTGAGTCATAACATAAAACTGTCAGAGTTAATCTATCTCTAATCCCACACTGTATACTGTTTGTTCTTTATTTCTTTGCAGAGATACTAACAATTTATGTGGTTCTTCCCTAGATCAAGAATAACATGTTTGACATAACATTATGTGTACAGCTCACAAAAATAAGTCTTAGAATTATCACTTAAACTTGTTACAACAAGAAACCATAGGGTTTTACCTTGGCTGGATTTGTATGTTTTCTCTTTGATCTTTGCACAGGTTGTCGGACTGACGCTGTCTCGGGGTCTGGATGAACTTGCCCTTATCTACTTGGCCACGATTCAAGCAATTGCTGTAAGCCATTTTAAGCACATAAAAGAACAAATGAATTGTCTTGTGTTCTGTGGCAGACTGATCATTCCCCTCCACTAAACAGATTGCTAGTAATAGGTGAATTCACTTAATGGGCTTCTTAAAGGAGCAAGATATTGTTTACCCACGTTGCTGACTACTCCCTGCTGTCGGAGATGGTGTGAAGAATATGTTCCCTAGAAAGATTTCCCCTTATGACAATTCAGAGCCTTTGTCTCTGGTGCATATGTGAAAAAGAAGCTGATGCTATGAGGGACAGCGTTGGCATCATGGGCTGTCTAGAGGGAAGCTGAGAGAGTGGAGGAAAAAAAGCACTGACTTCCTTTTAGGAAGGAACTTGCTCTCCCCAGATTTGCCTCAGCTTCAGACTATTCCTAAATTCACAGATTTCCTCTTGTTTTGTGATGGGAGGGCCAGAAGCATTGCTGAAGTCTGACTAGGTCTGTATCTCTACATACTGAATGAACCAGAGCTCTTTCCTCTCATGATGTCCCCATTGGAAGGCAAGCAGTTGCCTTGTATATGACAATTCCAACCTGAGGCTGTGTTTCTGTAGAAGCAGAGAGACCACCTTTATGAAAATGTCACAGAAGTTTGCTAACGTGCGTGCATGGGATATTTTATAGGAATACTTCTTTTTCAGCCCTCATTTTCTCAGATGAGAGGCTTTCCAGAACCCAGGATTTCCAGTTCATGAGAAGTTCTATTTTGACACAAGAACCTGGGTCAAAGGAGTTGTTTTGAAACACTGGCACAGGGTATCTGCAATGGGGCATGCTATCCCCAGGCGTTCGGTGACTGCAACTGACATTCCTTTGACATCCTCTTTGTAATTGTAAAAAATAAAAAACAAAACTTGTTGAACTTGCAAAACATTAACATGTTGATGAATTGGGGAGTTTTCCTGACAAACCTCTATTTGGCTGGAAAACTTCCAAACTCCTCTACTGGTTAAACAGCAACTTTGATAGGTTGGGTCAGCCATCTGGGATAGAGGGTGGGCGGCTGCTGTAAATTCGCTGTGAGCTGTACATGTCGTGTGTTAACCCTCCATCTTCAGCAAATAACTTGGGTCTGGAATGGGTGGTTGTCTTTTTTGATCTTTTTTAAGATGTATGTAGCTGTGTTCTACCTGATGCTTTCAGTCTAATCCCACAATTTAAATAAGAATGTGTAGGAGAGTTTAATCAATGCCAGCTACTGATACTACCCTGAAAGAAACTGAAAACTTCCCAGTATCGAACAGGTGCTCAGGTATTGTGCTGTGCTAATGAGGTGGAAACCTTCTCAGCTGGAAATCCTGGGAAAGTCACCTATTATCTCATTGTACAATGCAGCTCACATTTTATTGGAAAACACACATACTGTGTTCAGCTCTATATTCAGCATTTGTGATAGTTAATTGCCTCGATTGTGTGATTTAATATAAAAAGGTCATACAGTACTTTTCTTTGTAAGTTAACAGAAATTAATTTTTTTGTAAACACTATTCAGATAGTAGTAGAAAACAGACAGCAGTGACCTTGGGTTTGGTGTGATGTATTTACCAACTGCTGATGCTGTACCTGGAAATTTTACATTTCCTCCCATGCTCTGCCACTCCCAGGTTAGCTCTGCTTTGCAGAAGCACAGCCCCAGTCCTGTACCATTAACTACTGAAGCAAGACAGCCTTAAAACTAAGTAAAAGTCTTGTAGAAAGTGTAGGCCTGCCCACAGAATGTTAATCTCTGGTTTTCTTTTCAGCAGGAGACGCTTTTTTTCTTTTCATATAAAATTTGCATTTCAAGCCCCTCCATTTGCATTTTCTCCAATCCAGGATTAAATTAGTTCCCCCCCCCACCCACAGTGAAATAAGTCGGGCTTTAATTTAAATTGCTCCGTGAATACAATTTTCCAGGCAGGTAAACACAAAATAATTTTCACAGCGTGTCCTTTCTCAGGGTCTTTGGCATGTGTACGTTGTGAGAGAAGTTGTTCATCAATCTGAATTTCAGAAGTAGTGAAAGAGAATATCCTTCTAACCATTCACTGCAAAATGCGACGCACCAGTTGGGGCTGTGAGAACAGAGATCCAGTCGTGGCCATTGAGCCCGTTCAGAGGAGACGGACTTTCTTGAGTAGTTTTGGTGTTTTTTTTTTTCCATAATTGAAATCATGGCTGTGTGATTTGGAAATGAGCTCTCTGTGTCAGTAGGGAAGTGATGGATTTAGTCAGCTGTGTTGCGGCTGCTGAAGTTCCTCGTAACTGCTTGCCTTAATACTCAAAAATACATTTGAAGACCTGTCAAGGATTGTGCCAGTCACAGCACATGGCTCGATCTGCAGAAACTCTGCTAGTTTCAGTTTTAGTGGATTTCATTTGCAGAGGGCTTTATTGCAGGCAGCAGACCTCTTAGTGAACTCGGAGCATAGCATAAAGAAAACGCAAGTAACGGTTTGGCAGAACTGGACCAGATTGTGTTTGTGGGGAGTTTGCCTGTGAACGGTCAGCTTGGGTTGAAGTTTTAACTTGGATTTGGTATTTTGTCAAGTTTGTACTTCAAAATTAATTTCCAGGGTATTACAATGAGCTGGGAATTTAGGGGGACAGACAGTTGGTCAGTGAAATTGGAAGTGGTCTTGTAAGAGAAAACAGAGAGGGCTGGCTTCAATGGTAAGCAAGGGTAGCACAAAGAGGGAAGATTTTTTAGTTGGCAACTTGTTTTCATCATTTACAGAGCAGAACACTGACCTGTTCTAATATGAACTTCTGACAATAAAGTCTTTGAAATGAAAAGTTTAAAAATATATCCACGTTTTAGACGTGTTTCAATTAATCCAGGCATGAAATGGAACATTTTGTTTTGTGCAGGGCAAAGGCCAAAAGAAATAGTTAAGTCAATAGAAAATTCCTCAGGTTTTCCTTTTTGCTGAAAAGACAGAAAGTACAGGTTTATCATTTGCTCCTTTTTTGTTTTGTTTTGTTCTGTTTTGCCATTTAGTTTCAGAGATCTCAATACTGAGAGTGACATTCAGATATATTTGTACAAAGAAAACAGGAGTTTTTTGGTGGGAGTGTCTTTGCCATATAGGGGTTAGTTGTGAGCCTGGAAATCTTTTCTATATTGTGCTGCTCATGCTCACAAACAGCTGCTTATCACTGCCATCAGTTTAGCTGGTGCCCATTTCTGTCTTCTAATAATTGCACTCTTCACCCTTGTAAGTACTTCCCTGCAAGCCCCTTTTTCCCAGCACTGTGGATTGGAAGTTACCTTTTCCCGTTTTCAGCCACCCCAGGGATGCTCACTGCAATATAACTGTGCCTTTGCACTTCCCAATTCTTTGTGCAATCTGCTTGATTTTTTCTTGTCCGTAATCACAATACCATTTGCTCTTTAAAGCTAAGCAAGGTCTGTACCCTATTGGTCTACTCCCAGCCCCCGGGTTACTGCTAGGGGCAGGTAGTGTCTGTACGTTTCTGTCACACTTTGTAGGACGTTGTTCTTCTGTTCCTGTGGCTGCTCCCTTGTGCTCATCTGTTGAGTTTTTGTTTTTTCTTTTATTTTTCCCTTTTTCAAGTTAGGAACAAGACATATTTTGGAAGCTATGGAGGCTGCAGGCCATCATATCAACACCCTGTTCCTGTGTGGTGGGCTGAGCAAGAACCCTCTCTTTGTGCAGATGCATGCTGACATTACTGGTAAGCTAGAGGAAGTTTGGGTAAAGGAGTGTCAACTGCTTTATTATTGTAGGTGGCCAAATGCCTCATCTCTGGAAAAATAAATACTTCCTTTGTATAGAACTGAATTTTGTTGGTTGGACAAAAATATTGGAATGAAATGTAACTTCCTGCAAGACAGGATTTCCTGAAATTTAAAGGCATTAGAATAATACAGAGATGTGGTGCAAATTAAGCTCCATAATTTGTATTGATAGAAAATGGACTTTTGAAGGATCTTCCAACTTATTTCCAGTTTGTGGATCTTAGCCTGACAGGCTTCCTAAGCAAGTGCAGTAGAATTAATATAAAAACTGTGTGGAATTTTTAAAACCAGTACCTGTAAGTTGATGTCTATGATGTTCCTCACTATCAGATTTCTAAAAATTATTCTAGGCATGATATAAAAATTATTCCACTTAATCAGATTACAAGAAATTAATTTGATGAGGATAATGCGTGGTACATTTGATGAGTTTGTTACTACATAAGATGTGCTTTATTTCTAGTGAAATCTCTGTCAGGTTCATCCTATTTGAATTTCTGCTCATGCTGGACATGTAATGCATTGTAGAGAACAAATCCATTCTAAATTGCTTCAGCCTCTTTACCTTTCATATGGTTTAGAGGGCAATCTCTGCATCCCTGCTCCTGCATGATGTTCCATTTGGTTTTGTACAACTACTGATGGATGGAAGGTGCTGGGTTTGTGGCTCACTGCCAGAGGAGGCCTCAGTGCTTCTGATCTCCTTTAGCCTGTGTGCACTGGGTGTCTTAGCACACTTATGAGTCGGTTGCATGTACTTTTAAAAACAGGAAAAAAAATCACAAAATTTAGTTTAAAAGACTTCAGAAAAACTTTGAGTAATATGTGTTTAGAGTGTATGTCAAATGAAGACTGTTTGAGCTGTCATGAGCACAGTAATGCTCAGATTTGGGGTATTTGGTTGGGAAATCTGACTTGCCCTAACATCAAACCACATTTCACAACCCTGATGCAGAAGGGAAGATGAAAATATTCTTTTTTGTAGTTATCTGAGTTGAGAACAGAAATGGAGAAATAAATTATAATGCCTATTGGCCTTACAATTCACGGAATGTGTTGTGGTCAAAGTGGCACTTTGTTTGTGAAGAATGTTGAGAGGTGCATATCTTTCCATACATGACTCAAATGTTTTAGGTGAATTTCAGCATGCAAAGTTTGGGAGGCTGATTCCTGATGTGTAAAACAAAGGATCTGTGAAAAGGTATTCCGATTAAAATGTAATCAGGAGTTCTTTGACTGTAACTAATGGCCAAGTACAATAAGGTACAAAAAGGCCCTTTTGCAGTCTGGAGTTCTCCCCCATTTATAAAATCTGTGACTGACAAGAGATGTCAGAGTTCATCTGAGTGAAATGCTCCCAGTTGTGTTGAACTCATTTGAGCCTATCAGATAAAATAACTAACATTCCAGGATCAATCCCCCATTCTTTCACGAGAAGAAAAAAATCTGAATATATTATTGTTAGCTGCAAATGCCCATGACTCAGCCATGCAGACATCCAACAGATAACTTTACAGGCCACTTAAAAAGTATCTTGATCTTTTTGTTTGCTTGGTAAGAATTCTGCATTCATTCTGATGGTGCAGGAAATGTGCAGTAAATTTTAGAGCGTGCTGAAAATTGCTTTCTGCTTCAGCGCCTGGCGAGCAGCCGCGTGGCTGTAAGCTTAGTGTTAGGCTGTGTCTGATCCAAGCCAACCCAAGTCCCGAGCTATGCTCCATCTTAGCAGGAGGAGTGCTCACGAGTTTGATTTTGCACTCTTGTTTTTAAGGTGGGTGTGTTTATTGTAATTCAGACAAACATAAGAGGTGCTGTGGTCGGACTGGCTCACAGCTAATAGCCATTCCACTGGTCCAGCAACAAGCCTGTGCTGCACCCGTTTTCTTTCTGCCCCACGCTGCCTGTGCTAACTATAAGAAAAAATGGCATAAAGAGTGCTGTGGCACTGGAAAATGATTGTAGGCAGCTTTAAACTGAAGGAACAGAGCAAAACCAGCATGTTAGCAGATGCTGGGGTGCAAGGTGAGCTTGCTTTGAATTGATAATTGGTTTTCATATTAATAATTTTATTTCCCATTTTAAAAGCATGTATTTGGCTTTTCCTCTGTAGGAGTTGTTCAGAGCTCTCTTTACATCTCCCTCCCATTTCAGCTCCTTCTGATCTCGCAGTTGGCTCTCAGGACCATCATATCACTGAGGCTATTTGGAAAAGGAAGTCCTCCTCCCACCTCCGTGTTTGCATCATCATGCATCCAATGAAGTGATCTCAGTAATGGAAATTTACACACGTGCCAAATACTGTAGGAATATACAATTCTTTGCTTTAGTGGGATGAGCATCCAAAGTGCAGCTCAAGGAGTTGTTACACTCATGTAGTTTAGGCATCTCTAAGAATTCAGAAAACAGGCAGTTTTTAGTGGTTCATTGCTCTTTTTACTTCTGCTTTTACACTGGTAGTACAGGTCTCTGAAAACTTTGTGTGAACTGAGGAAAAGTATGGTGGCACCCATGGGTGGTGAAACTGTTTTTGGCTACTTCTGCAAAGTATGCAAAGGTTTTCATTGTATTTCATTTTATTTTTCTAGGGTTTTAATCTTCTTTTTCAACTATATTGTATTGGAAGATAAGATTTCTCTTATTATTTCATTCACAGCTTGTGAAAGGTCACTATTTATATTTTTCTGCCTTCCAGCAAAAACAGACTGGCTTTGTTGGCATATATTTAAAAACAAACACAAACAACCTTTTTGGTTTTTTGCTGTTCATTACAAAAGAAACAGAAAGGTCACCATTGTATTGCTCCTCAAGGTCAACTTTCAGTTTTCAGGTTGCTTTGGAGGGTGTGGGTAGGAGATTACAGTCAAGTGCTTTGAGGTGAATAACCACTGTTTTTCATTTGCTTTAGATTCTGCATTAATATTTTGTTGAAATTGTTTCATTTACATTCTGCTTTTTTTTAGGGGGAGGGGGTGGTCCTGCAACCACACAGCACAGATTAACGTTCATCTGCAGTGGATTGTACTGTATAAATGGAGTTGTGAACATGGATTTTCAAGTCCTTTTTCATTCCTTCTTTCTTTTTCTTTTTTACCTTTAATTATTTATTGTGCAGCTACTGCTGCATTGCTTTATTCTTCCTAACAGATGTGTGACTTTTTCCTGTATAGGCAAGCCTGTCGTCCTGTCCAAAGAAGTGGAGTCTGTTCTTGTGGGTGCTGCTATTCTTGGAGCTTGTGCTTCTGGGGATTTTGCGTCTATACAGGTATGCAGTACCTGATTTTTTATTTTTGATTATGTCTTTTTGAATTATATTTTATGTTTGGAAAATTGGCCTTATGCACAGACTTTGATTCAAGTGGAAAAGTTTGCAGAGCCAGGAGGGAGCCAGCATCGCTTTCTGTCCACCCTCATTTTTTAGCACTGTTACTTATGTGTAAGTAAGATTCACTTATGTTTCACTATGGTGACATGCAGTATAAGCTGTTCTCTGTAAGGCTAGGCCATGTAATCTTACAGGCAGAAGAGGGCATTTGCAAGGCCCTGCTTCTGCAAGAAGGCCACACTTTCGTCTCAGCTCTGAGTCCCACTTTGCACTGAGGAATATTAAACATCAGAAATACCATAGCACTTACAGAGTTAAAAAGAACAAAAAACACACCTATGCCTCTTGTCTTGCTCACAGTGAATTCAGAGTTAATAACGAGAGTGGAAATTCATGTTTATTTGTGTTATTTCAATCCCTTAATGGTTGTAAAGTGGCAGTAATGCTTTTGTGTTCAGTGGATCAGCCAAAACGTGACTTAACTGCATTTATATAAGTGACAGTAAGACACAGAAACCTGTAGAACCATCTGTATGCTCACAATCATAGCTGTTTTCCCACCTGTCAGTTGTGCTAGCATAAGGCACTTCCTCTCCTAGCAGAAAGCACAGCTTCCTTTCATAAGAATTCTTCCATTAAAATTAATCCCCTTGGAACAAATATATTGTATATGCATTTCTACTTAAAAATTTCGGTGCTTCCAAGGAAATCTTGATTGTTTTGATAAACATAATTTCAGTAGCAGCTTTTGGTGATAGGAACTCATATTTAATTCCTGCCTTTCTGTTATCTGTTTCATTTACAGCAGCATTTCATTTCTAGTTTAAGATACCTTGCACCATTGTGCAATCAGTGACCATCTCAAAACTCTTGAAATTAAGTAAGTCTGTCTTCATAAAAATATGGTCCCTTCCCATTTCCTCTTGAATCAAAGAAAGTAATACCAGAATATAAAGAAAAAAAAAACCCATCCCATTTCATTCCAGTGCCTCAGTCTGGTTTCTCCATTCATGTCAGGTCTGATTGCAAGGCTCTTGCTGGCAAGCAGGGCGATGCCTTTTTTTCACTGAGTTGCAGGTCAGCCCCAGGCACTTCCTTGGGATCCCCCTGCAACAGAAAAGGGGAAAGCAGTTCGGAAACAACTGTTGTTATTCATCTCAGTGGACATTTATGACATGTTTCTTTCCACCCCACAGCCAGTGGTGATTGCTGGGAGCCAGGTGAGGCCCCATCCAAGACACCAAACCTGTGGTGGGAAGAAGCCACTCTCTGTGTTTTGGCTTAGTGTCTGTTCAGAGAATTGTAGTTAAAGAGGTGACACCAATGGCAATATCAGCTGTATTGTGCAGCAAACGTTTTCAATTATGTTGAAATATTTTCCAAAGAATTCAGGGACTTGAGATAAGGAACAGTATGAAATATACAAGTATCTTTTTAGGTGTAAATGGGTATCTAACATTGCAGTTCAATAACCTTCTCTTACTTTTCAAACACTTTTTGCAAAGCAAAACCTTTCGTAGAGGTGCTGCTGCAAACATTCAGTGTCATTGTAGTTTTTGCAAATAGCAGAAGTTATTATCTGTCCTCTGATAGATGTTTCTTACTTAGATATTGAGTTTTCCAAAACTGTTTGTTTGCTCAGTCTAACAGTAAAGGAGAAAAAAATACAAATAAAACCACCAAACAACCAACCCTGTGCGTTTTTTTTTAGCAATAGCCTCTTTCTTTATGACTATGTTTGTTTGAATGGGAATTTTTATTGTATTTGTCCCAGTGATTTTGGTCACATTTCTCAGAATGATTTTTGGACATGTCAAAATCAAAATGCTTAAAGATGATCTGGTTTTCCTGGCTTTGCTGTTCTCTCTTCTCTAAAATTCAGCCATCTTTAGGAAAGCTTGGAAATAGGACCCAAAACCAAGGTCCCTCAAAATCACCTCTGGTAATCTTAGTCTGGATTTCACAAGGTCTGCTGACTACCAAGCAGACAGGTAAAGCACACCAGTACCAAGCATTACTAGTAGTGCTGCTGAGAGTGATGCTTCAGGGAGCTGGTGAGCCTGTGGAGCAGGGCTGAGCTCAGGTTGTGTCTGCACACTGAAGCTGCAGCTTTGGGACTGCAGCGTGCATCAGGTGTTAGAGCTGCCCTGCTCATGTGTTCTGGTGCTGTGGGCTTTTGGGGGACACAGAGCACCAAGACAGAGCCAGTGCTCCGGCCATCTGCTGTGTGCTCAGAAAATTTGGTACACAGAGAAGGTCTGTGGTAAGGAGAAACGGTATAGAGCAAGAAACATATGGTAACTGTATACTGTAATTAGTTTTAGACTTTTAGATTAATGGTTGGGAAATGGATTGGCATTGCCTGTTGTTTCCTTAGGGGTAAAGTAGGTGGTTGTGGTGGTTGCTGTTACTCCCATAGTCCTGTACTGTCTTGATCCTTAGTTCTGTTACATTCCATCACTGGGATTTGGAAATGGGGAAGTTGCTGCAGAAAAACTTTGGGGGATTATTGCTTCAGGAACAGGGAGTGATTTACCTACAATTGCTGCATGGTGAACCTAGTCAGCATGTTTGTGAAACAATTGGATGCTCACACTTCCCTTTCTTGGGCAACTGATTATAGTGGCTGGAACACAAATATGCTTTTCCCTAAATGAATTTCTTCTCAGAAGGAAGCAAGTCTCAGTGCACCTCCCAGCTCCTTCCCTTTTCTGTAATACAGCAGTGGCCATTTACAGGACGTGGTACTTCCTTATAATCCTTATTTATCTTCTTGAGTGATTTGGACAGAAAAGATTTTCATGCTTTTTGTTCACCACATCTGTGTTTGTCACAGAATTCTCAGTATGCTGAGCCTTTGCAGGAGAAAAAAAAACACATTGGAAATGAAAGTTACTGTAAAATTTGTAGCCGTGGAGGTTAATTTGCTGGATGTGTGTGGTTTTAGGAGCTCAAAACCCTTGGAGCTGCAATTTCATCTTTAGGTAATTCTATCAAGGAAAGATTTATAACCTCCATCTCTCATGCCTGGTCACCATATGTCGTTCCTTCAAAGAATGTTGACTTCTCTGTTTTCCTCTTCATTTATTCTCTCTGCATTTTTGTCCTCTGTGGTAAAAGAAAATTAAAACAATTGGTTTATCCAAAAAGGAAAAAAACCACACACAGTGTGGTGAGAGTTATTTCCCATTTTATCTTTTGGTTATTTAACCTCCAGAGTCTCCGGGAAAAGGAGAAAATCCGAATTTCTTCGTGCAATTTGGTTTATCTTTTCATTCGCCCCTGCTACAGCTTTTTTCCTGTTAGAGGTTTTATAATACCTTGATTATTGTTCCTGTGAACTGGAGCACAGCCTGCCCGGGTCAGCGCTGACACAGAAGATGGTGCTGTGTAAAAATCATATGACATAAGGATTTATGAAATATATACTATAGTTTGGGGGATTTTTGAAACATGTGCCTCAGTCAATGAAATAACCTTACTGCTTCTGGCTTAGATGGGTCAATTTATTGGTTCTCGCCATTCCTTCCATGTGGAGCAGCAGGATCCTGGGTTTTTTTCTATGTGATTGTTTCTGGAGTAAAAATATAGTTTCCGGTATAGCAAGCCAGCAATTCCTTCTCAGTAAAAATGTTCAATAAATAAATGTCAAAGTTTCCACTATATCCTCATTAATCTGCTTCACTTGTATGTAATTGAAAATGGGAAGAAGGTGCTGTTTGATTTGGCAATCGTCCAGCTCCTTTTCTTTTCTTTTTTTTTGGGATACCCGACTCTTTGGGACAAAGCTGTGCACCAGGGAACAGGGTTATTGCCTTATAAAATTCTGCACTCACTGACTATTCTTTAATTGCATATTAAAGCAATTAATAAAATTGCTAGTATGAAGCTAAACTGCAAAATTTATTTTGGAGTTGGTATCTAATGTGGGTCATTCTTACTGGCTAATATGGAAGAGAAGAACTTCATCTGGTTTGCTAAAATACATTGCAGTGGTGACTTCCTGCATTCATTTTTGGTGTAAAACGTTGAGCTAGAAGTTGGTTGTTTTTAGTACAATACGGTTACTCCACAGCTTTGGTAATGGACCAACTGGCAATAGTGAATTGACAGCATTTCTTAAGAAGACACGTAAGTAGTAATTGGACCTGCTCAACTTTTTGCTGACAGAACTAGCAAGATGGGGCTGTTTTCATTTCAGGATCAGGCTGTCTCTGCACTTCTGTCAGTGGACATGCTTCAGTTGATGATCTGATCCTCTATTCCTCTTCCAAAGTATTACCCGTCAGGTCATGGATTGAAATTAATACAAATGTTCTAGTTGATTTCCATATTTTCAAAAGGAAGAACCAAGTGAAAGATCGGGGAGAGGATAGCTTTTTTCCTTAGAAATGGTAATAACTTGGGAAATCAAAAGAGGAAATAAAATGACTTCTCCCTGTTGAATTAGGTAATATTGCCTTCCTTCATCTCATTAAAAATGTAAAGTGCTCTTGTTTTTGAGCAGGGTAAATTAGTAATTAAATGCTATAATCAACTTGTGTAAACATAATAATGAAGGAGAGCAGCAAATTAATCATTTCGTTGGCTTGCCTTACCCAATTAATGCACCTTTTACTAAGGGCCTTCGTGTTACATTGGGATGTTTTTCTCCTATTTTCTTAATCTGGGTCTTTTGGAAAGTCAGAAGAAGGAGGTGGTTGTTCTTAGATAGCATGCTGTGTGCAAATAGCGTGTTAAGGTGCTGTGATCTTGCCTTCCTTTTCCTTAGAAGCTCTAAGTTTGTTCATCTACACTTTGAGTCCATGGTTCGGTGGAGGCCATTCTTGGGCAAGGCTGGGCGTTGGCTTTTGCTTTTCTTTGTAGTACATTGGCTGGGCATGGCACAGCCACGTCTTTATGTCAGTGATTCTTTTAAATTCCATCCTGGACAT